GATATTCTCTCTTCTGCTTCACCCATTCTGTTTTTAAGGCTCTCTAATGTGTTTATCATTTGATCTATTGAGCTCTTCATTTCATTTTGATTTCTCTTCACTATCACACTTTCCTGTTCTACTAGTTTCTGAGTTTCATTTTGATTCTTCCTTAAAATTTCATTTTCACGAGAGAGATTTTCAATCCTGTCCAATAAGGATTTCTGTAGTTCAAGGATTTGCTTTTGAAAACTTCTAAATGTTCTTATCATATTTTTTTTGAAATCTGTATCTTGCATTTCTTCTATCTCGTCATCTTCATAATCTTGGCTTGGGGTGTTTTGTTTATTTGGAGGCATCATAGTGTCATCGTTGATCTTGTTCTCTCGATTTCTGTGTTTGTTGCTTGGCATAGTTAATTCTTCTTTCGTCACTGTGCATTTTTTTAATTTTTTTTTTATTTTATACTATGTCTGTGTTAAGTGGACTGCCTGCTGTTGGAGGAGCCTTGGAGGCTTGAGATGGGTGTGGCCTGAGAGCTCTGCTTGGTTCTTCCGTGTTACGGGTGTGCAAAGGTGACACCCTCAGGTTATGCATGGTAAATCTCTCTCTATTTATTTATTTATTTATTTATTTATTTATTTATTTATTTTATTCAGGAGGTAAGTAATACCGCACTGTACAGCTGTGCAGAATTGATGGTATTTAGCTTCCGATCTCTGGCTTCTACCCAAAGAGTCTGTGCAGGCTCTGTTTCTCTTCTGGACTCCCACTGGGTTGCCTAGGCTACTGAATTGTAGTGACTCAGTTCCTTAGCCCTCCCCTGTTGTTATGTAAATCCAGAGAGGGGACCTGCTCTTTGTCTCTTGCAAACTCTTGCAAACTCTTGCAATCCTTGCAGCCTTGCAACCTTTGCAAGGTTGGCGGAGAGAGAAACCTCCCACCTTTTTCCTTCTCTCCTGTAGTCAGTCTGGTGCACTTTCCCGCTGCCCTCTAGATTCTGACCGCCGTTTCCCCGCCAATGTCTCGGGTTATTGGGCTCACCTCCCCTTCCAGCGCCGATGTGTGGACTCAGAGCCCTGGGCATCCCAACTCTCTCCGCTGGTGTCTGTGTGACATCCACTCCCCTTCCTGCACTGGCGTGCAGACCCTGTGGCTCCCGCGGCTCGGCTTCCGCACGGTGGGCGACCTTGTTCTCCCAGTAGGTCCTCCGAGTCACAGCCACTAGATCCAGAAGAGTTTCCTCTGCAATTTTTTCCTGATCCTTTTTCTGAGGCTACCATAACTCCACTTTTATTAAACTAAATTTTCCCGGACTATCGGTGCACGCCCTCACTATTCCGCCATCTTGGCTCCACCCCCCGGGGTGTGTTTTGATTTTAGGAAGGAATGCTGATTATTTGGGGGAAAATTACTTAAGATAAAACATAGTTCTGGATGACTGTTTGAAATGTTCTCCTAGGAACATTAAAATTTTAAATTTATTAATGAAATTATACTCAGTTTTTAGAAAACATTGATTTAAAGTAACTGGAAATTAAAGAACACTATTTTGTGACAGAAGACTTGGGTTTCATATTAAGTAATTGACTTTTGGCAAACAAAAGCAAGACAGCACACCTCCTCACACCCCCTTGTTTGAGAGACAGAGAATGCTTCCATCTGCTGGTTTCTCCCTGAATGTCCTCAGCCTGCACTGGGCATTGCTGAAGCCTGGGGCTAGGCACTCTGAGTCAGCTCTCCCACACTGAGTGACAGAGGCCCATGCACTGAAGTCTTCGTCACTCTGCACAGGATCATTGGGATCTGCACAGGAGGCTTTCCTTTTGAAGTAAATGAGTAGCACCCAGCTTCCGGGCATTCTGATCAAACTGAGGGGGTACACACATAGAGGATTATTGAGATGAAAGACACCCCCTCTCTTTTTTTTAAGTAAGTAAAGATGTGTTGGCACAGCAGGTGTCTTGTCCTGCTGGCTAGATCCTGAAGTTGTGCAACACTGGATTGGGCCAAGCTTCTTTATTTAGTGGGTGAGGATCCCAAAGAGGAGAAAGAGCAGAGCCTAACATCTTTTTTTGAAAATAACCTCTTTCCCTTTGGGTATAATAAATGAAGGGAGAAATTGGCAAGATCTGACAGAAAGTTAAAATAACTATTTTTATGTTTTTAAATTGTTTATCTGTATGCATCTGTTCCTTAGACTCAGTAGTTTTATTGCTTTTTTCTTTATGACCTTTTAAAAAAGATTTGAAAGGCAGAGTTATAGCAAGAGAGAGAGAGAGAGAGATCTTCCATCCACCGATTCATTCCCAAATGGCTGCAGTGTCTGGGCCAGGCAAGCCATGAGCTTCATCCAGGTCTCATGAGGGTGGCAGGGGCCCAAGCATTTGTATACCACTGCTTTCCCAGGTGCGTTAGGAGAGAGCTGAATGGGAAGTGGAGGAGCCAGGATTTGAGTTGGCTCTCTGATCTGAGATGCTGGTGTCACAGGCAGTGGTTTAACCTGCTGTGCCACAACACCAGCCCCTTCTTCATGATTGCAAAGGAAGGCATTTTTATTTAAAAAAAAAATAGAGGACAGGTAAGTTTGTTTGTTTTTTTTTTTTTTTTTTTTTTTTTTTTTTTTTTTTTTTTTTACCCTAAGACATAGTAACATTTTGGGAATTATCCCTTTTTTGTTTGTGCATATAAATTTGTGTTGAAATTATATATGTTATCTTTTATACCAAAAATGGGATTGTATATTACTGGCTTTGAGCTGTTTTTTTTCCCCAGTAATATTTCAGGGCTGTGTTTTTATGTGCGTTTGTAATTGCATATTTGCTCTCTTGTCTGCCCAGAATTGCATTGTTTTGATGTACCTTCTTTATCCGTGGACATGTGGGTAGTTTTCATCCTTTTCTGCTATAAATGAAATTGTGGTTCTTACCTGCACACTTAAGCTGATTCCTAAGCAAATGAGGGTTTAGTGGGTCTGTGGCTATGTTGAAATGAAATTCTGCTCTAACACCTTTTTCCTTGGCATTTTAAAATGGTTGAGAAGGGACTTCACTTTGTATCATTGCTTTTTCCTTTTTAGTGATCAAGTGAGCTGTAGTTGCTGTGGTAGTAATGGTCAGTAAGCCATTTAAGTGTTTGAGTTTGCCTATCAAAAAATGTTGGCGGTTTTCCTGTATGTCCAATCCATGGGGTGAGGCTGAAAACCTGTTGGTGACTACCCACAGAAGTGTGATGGCTAAGAAGGGGAAGGCTTGGGAAGATACATTAAGTTTTGAAGGATATGTTAGTACAACTTGACATTGAAAAGCTTATGAGTAGAATGTTTCCATCTCTAAACTGTGGCTTGTTAGAGTGAATGCTGTGTGTTTCGAGAAACCTTGTTGGGGTTTCTCTTAGCATTAGTGGCATTTTTAAGTCTGGCAGGTCTTGGTTGTGGGAAGCTGTCTTGGTGTACGTTGTTGAACCCAACACCCTGCGTGTACTTGCTAGGTGCTAGCAGCATATTCCCAAGGGGCTGTTTACACACAGTTAGCTACCTCAGTGCCTTGTGTTTAGAGTTGTGATAGCAGGCTGTGTGGCAGTGGCTTCCTTGGATCCTGTAATGCCCCCCCCACACACTGCTTTTTAACACTTAGAAATAGTACAAGTATGATTTTTAATGTTCATCTGGAGTATATTTAATACATTTGACTATAGCATATGAACTGGAAACGTAATTTTCTTAGTCAAGAAAATGAAAAGTTCTAGGTAGTAAAGTGGTAGGACTGAGGGTGATATTATTCCTATTCAAACAGAAGGTTTCTATTGTAATAAAAACTCTGGAATAAAACTGAGTATTTTATGTCCATGGAGGTTGATAGTTTACAATGCAATGGCGTTACAGGCTGGGATACCTGAGTCTACTAATTTTATATATTGTCAATGTCAAAAGACCTTGGGTTTTGATGTGATTGGCATTTTTTGACTATCCCAGTGCCTTTTATTGTGTTATGACACAGTGGTTGTGTACTGACAGATTTAAAATTGACTTGCAGTTTGAGTGTGTGGCTTTCTTTGCTATATTGGTCTTTGAATTGGAAAAAGCAGTAGTGAATGGGAGTGGTGGAGCATCATATACTGGAATGTTAGTGTTTCCTTGGTTACTTTAAGTCCAGTTACTGATGGGCATTTTGGAGTTCAGGGTAGAGACTTTTTTGGTAAATATAAACTTAGTGAACGTGATTGTCCAGATTTTCCTTTTGTCATGTTGTTTTGTGGAAACAGTGCTTCCCATCAATTTATGGATAGAGCTTAGACTTTCCAGTGCCTATTTCTGAATTTAAAATTTTTTTGGTTTTAGATTGAGGGAGGATCTGTTTTAATATAATCGGTGATACCAGTTTGTAGGATTTCTATTTTCAGATAGCATTATCTGAAAGTAACATGATTTTGTTACTCTGGGTTTGTTAGTATTAAGAAAGCTGGATTGGTTTACATACTAGATGGTGTGCTCAGTCATCTTACATGAGGCCATTTCCATTCCGGCATAAACCACTTTAGAGCCGCTGTTTAGTACCATAGTATTTAGAGGAATCAGGCTAATAAAGATGATATTTCTTTGCAGTTGAACCACTGTGGATAATTTAATTTGAATTTATGGTCAATATGTTACAGAAAAACACTTTTTCTGTTTTATAACATTAAAAATTTTTTGAGTGAAATGTTGTAACTCTAAATACTGATTTTTTTTTAATGTTTTGTTTGAACAACAGTGTGGTTCTGAAGAATCCTAAGGAATGAATAGCCCACTGGAAATTTGAGCATAGATATTTATAGTTGAGTAAAAACTCTTCTTTTACTATTTGGATATTTATATACCCGTGGTAAAACTGCAGAAACTAACTGGACTTGCAGTTTTATTGAAAGATACATAAGAACAAGAATGTTGCTGAATCAGCTGATGTTAAAGACAGGATTCTAACGTAATCTTTTTTCTTCCCCTTTCTGTCATTCCAACATCTTTTTCGAACTGTGAACTAAAGTGGAAGACAAGCATTCCAGTGATGCCAGTAGTTTGCTCCCACAGAATATTCTGTCTCAGACAAGCAGACACAATGACAGAGACTACAGACTGCCAAGAGCAGACACTCACAGTAGTTCTGCGCCAGTACAGCACCCCATCAAGCCAGTGGTTCATCCAGCTGCTGCCCCAGGCGCTCTTCCTTCTAGTCCATTTACGCTGCAGTCTGATCACCAGCCAAAGAAATCATTTGATGCTAATGGAGCATCTACTTTGTCAAAACTGCCTACACCCACATCTTCTGTCCCTGCACAGAAAACAGAAAGAAAAGGTATGCCATTACTGCTAGATGCTGCGCGTGAACTAGTTTCTGCTGTAGTACATTATTTCCTTTGGCTTAAGACTCTTATCGATAAGTTTTTTTAAGTTTTCTAGACTGTTACTGCATAAATTTAGGTCTAGAGTTAGCAGTACTTTGCCTTTTCTTGTAATTTATTATCAGGCCTCAGAACCGTTTTTTCCTTTGACACTGACATCAAGTGCTTAATTTATAACAAAAGTGGTTTAAGTAACTTGTCAAAGTCCAATAACTGTCCCTTTGTATTTATGTAAAATACTCTTGTAGTTGTCTCGATAGTCTAGAAATTGATTCTCTTAATTAAAATTTAATATGAACAGAGACAAAACTTGTTTTTGTACAACACGAACTCATTGGTTTCATTTTGTGAGTTAGAAAACTGAGTCATGAATCTCAAGTTAACTAATGTCTGAATTTGATTTTAAGTCTGAAGTGAAACATTGCAATACAAATTATGTTTAGCCAACTCCGTGTTAATAATCATAGCATATTCAAAAAAGAAGTGTGGCAACAACTACTTGGGAGGTGGAAGCTGTATGATAAGAGCTATATTTGCATGAACCATTGACTCTCTGACTTTTACCTCACCATATATATATTTTTTTAACTAAGGAAGTTAAAAGACAAATTTTCATGGTTAGACCAGTTGGCAGGCGATTAGTAAGTGTTGAGGAATTTTTGAAATGGTCCATGAGTTTAGGAGATGAAGAGTTTGAGTTTTTAAGCCCAGTTAATTGCTTGACGAGTTGTTTTGGACTGTTGACGAAGGATTCACATAACTGTTTTACTTTTGCCTCTGGTTTTCTCTGTGTGTGCTATTTGATTTTCCTTTGTACTACAGTGTGTTTCAGAGTACTAAACTAATATTTTTACTAAACAGTATACAGTTAAACAGATTAATGCGTGTTTCAAATGTTAAAGTCCTTTGTACCAAAATTGATAAGTTCTTTGTACCAAAATTGATAGGTTCTCATCAGATTTACCCTGTTGCACAAATCCATATGCAGATAAAATTCTTGATGAAATCTGAATTCCTGCAACAGTTTATTTTTTTTCCAAAGGATGGTTTGATTTTTTTTCATTTCCTATAATTTTGTTTATCTGATCACAGAAAAACTTACTTTATTTAGAAGAACTCCAAAGTTAAAAACCTTGAGACCTTCTGAAGTATTTATTCAGGTTCCCATTTGTTCACCTAACACTTCACAGCTCCCCTGGGCTTCTGTGATAGTACTGTCCTGCAGGTTCCTTGTTCTAGTCTCTTCTCCTTAAATGGCAGCACCATACTTTGTCTGGCTTAACGTGTCCTCCCTCTTTTTATCATTATCTTTGGTTTTATTCCCTTCTGCATGCTGTATTTGTTAAATTTCCTCGGATACAGAGTGTCCCAAATTTCCCCCTTTCCCACAATGTATTAGATTCTCAGTAACTGACAGAATTAACCGTCAACTTGTTCTCTGGTATTCTCAAGGCCAGGCACATTTCTGCCACCTTTTGACAATCTTTGCGCTCTTTGCTGTATTTCATTTGTGTGCACTCTTTCTAAGCACTTGGGCCATCCTCCGCTGCACTCCCGGGGTATAGCAGAGAGCTGGACTGGAAGAGGGGCAGCCGGGACAGAATCCAGCACCCCAACCGGGACTAGAACCCCAGGGTGCTGATGCCACAGGTGGAGGATTAGCCTATTGAGCCGCAGCGCCAGCCTGTTTGTTTTTTATTTTAAGATTTGTTTATTTGAAAGAATTACAGAGAGAGAGCTTCCATCCGATGATTCACTCCCCAGATGGCTGCAATGGCCGGAGCTAAGAACTCCTGGTCTCCCACATGGGGGCAGGGGCCCAGGCACTTGGGCCATCTTCTGCTTTTCCCATCAGCAGGGAACTGGATCAGAAATGGAGCAGCCGGGACACGAACTGGTGCCCATTTGGGTTGCTAGCATCGCAAGCAGTAGCTTTACCTGCTGTGCCACAGCACCAGCCCTGACTTCTCATCTTCACAGGGATTTTCCCCCACAAATAATTCATGTTAAAGGGTGATGATTCAGATCAGATTGGTCACTTGGCTTTACGTGTAGTTAAGCTGTATCTAGTGGTAGCATGTTTTATTAAATAATGTTTTATTTATTGATAATTATGTTTTACTAAATAACACAAGAGCAGAATCTGTCTTAGCCATAGCTCTGTCCCTAGTACTTGACTGATAATAAGTGGCATCTGTTTGTTGTGGATGGATAAACATCTGTGTGAGTAGTAATGGATGTATTGAGGAGGATTGGAGAAGCTCCTGCATAGTTCATGGTTTTAAAAATGTATTTGGGGGCCGGCGCCGCGGCTCACTAGGCTAATCCTCCGCCTAGCGGCGCCGGCACACCGGGTTCTGGTCCCGGTCGGGGCGCCGGATTCTGTCCCGGTTGCCCCTCTTCCAGGCCAGCCCTCTGCTGTGGCCAGGGAGTGCAGTGGAGGATGGCCCAGGTGCTTGGGCCCTGCACCCCATGGGAGACCAGGAAAAGCACCTGGCTCCTGGCTCCTGCCATCGGATCAGCGCGGTGCGCCGGCCGCAGCGCGCCGGCCGCGGCGGCCATTGGAGGGTGAACCAACGGCAAAGGAAGACCTTTCTCTCTGTCTCTCTCTCTCACTGTCCACTCTGCCTGTCAAAAAAAAAAAATGTATTTGGGGGGCCGGCACTGTGGTGTTGCGGTTAAAGCTGCCACCTGTAGTGCCGGCATCCCATATGGGCACCAGTTCAAGTCCCAGCTGCTCCATTCTGATCCAGCTCTCTGCTATAGCCCGGGAAAGCAGTGGAAGATGGTCCAAGTCCTTGGGCTCCTGCACCCACTTTGGCTCAAGCTGTTGCAGCCAGTTGGAGAGTGAACCAACAGATGGAAGTGAGTCTCTCTCCCCTCCCCTCCTCGTCCCTCCCCTCCCTTCTGCTCTCCTCTCCATGTGTAACTTTGACTTTCAAATAAATAAATAAATCTTTTTAAAAGGTGTATTTGGAGAAAAACAATGAATATATGTGTTGTGTATCTAAAACATCTCAGCTGGGCACTTAACATCAGCTTAACGTAGAGAACAATGCTGGTGTTAGGGTAAAAAGAAGGGTTCAGGTTGTCCCCATTGAGGCCTGTTTGTGAGGGTTAACATTTGAGCATCTAGGGGTAAGAGAGATCACTTTGTTTGGCAACCATATACCAAAGTAATAGAGAAGTTGTTACCTTAGAGAGCATAAAACTTATTTTTATCAGCTGCCTTCATTACCCTTCTAACTGGCTTAACTCTCAGCCCTTCTGGATTTGTGAAATGACAGTAAGCAGGGGTTGTGTGGGTCCTTGTTTCTTGCTATGGCCAAATAAGTGTCAGAATTACACATTTTTTAAAAACATGTTTTATTTATTTGAAAAGCCTACAACAGCCGGAACTGTGCCAGGTCAAAACTAGGCGCCCAGAACTCCATCCAGTTCTTTCATGTGAGTGGCAGGCCCAACTACTTGAGCCATCACCTGCTACCTCCCAGGGTGCACATAAGCAGGAAGCTGGACTGGAGCTTAGAGCCAGGACTCAAACCTAGCACTCCAGTGTGGGCTGAAGTTGTCCCAGATAGTGTCTTAACTGCTGTGCCAAATGCCTGCCCCTAGAAGAATTTAACGAACATAAAAAGCAGTTTTCTCATTTAGTATTTTAGAGTTAGGATTTAGTGGCATACATAAGTTTGAAAGTGAAACAAAATAGCCACCGAAGCAGACCTGTTCAGTGACCTGAGGTTTAGGTCTCAGAGGCTTAGCCTGTCTAAACAGCGTGGCTCACTTCCTCATGGCGGGCTGGAGATCTTGTGTCATGCAGTAATTTGATGTGTGAGTCACTTAGAATAAAGTTCTCATGTGTGTTCATGGTACATGTCAACTACATGAAATTTGAATGAACTGAAGTCTTCATTATGTGTGAAGTCATTAGCCGTAGAAGTTCATTAATTGGCTGTAGTGGATTCCCTTCAGTCCTCAGATGCTTTGCTTTAAAATGACTTTTAGGAATACTGAATATCATAAAAAATTAGACTGGCCATAAAATTACTCCAATTTGTTAAATAACTGAGTATATATTTGTGGAGGAATTTAATCTTGGTAAGTTAAACTAAATAGTATTTGATCAGCTTCTTAGAGGTGGCATTTTGAACAGGCATGCAAGAGAAACAACTATGACACAAAAAAACTGTAGAAAACATTGGGTATTATTTGAAGCTAATTAAAGAAAACCTTTTTTTAAATTTATGATTTATTTACTTGAAAGAGAGAGAAAAGTCTTCTGGTTCACTCCCCAGTTGGCCACACTGACTGGAGCTGGCTGATGTGAAGCCAGAAGCCTGGAGCTTCCTCCAGGTCTCCTACGTGGGTGCAGGGGCCCAAGCACTAGGGGCCATCTGCTGCTGCTGTCCCAGGCCATAGCAGAGAGCTGGGTCAGAAATGGAGTATCGGGACTTGAACTGGCACCTAATTGGGATGCCAGCACGGCAGGCAGTGGCTTTACCCCTGTGCCACAGAGCCGGCCCCAGGAAGACCTTCTTAAGACCTAAAATGCATTTGTCTTTTAAAAAGTTGATAAATTTGACCAGGTAAGACATCTAAGATTTCTTTATAACAGAGATACAGTAAACTGACAGACAAATTTTGGGAGAAAATATTTGTAGTATTTTGATAAGATGCATTAAGAATTTATACAGAACATTGGGTCAAAGAAAATCGAAAAAACTATAGGAGGCTTATCTTCGTGATGTTACTTTTTATCAGTGATTTCTTGAATATGACACCAAAAGCACAGGCAACTAAAGGAAAAATAAATTTGAATTCACCAGTATTAACCTCTGTGTGTCAAGGGATACAGTCAAGAAGAGGCAACCCTAGAGTGAGAAAATATTTATAAATCATAAATGTGATACAGGGTTAATATCTAGAATATATAAAGGAGTCTAACAGTAACAAC